TTTGTGGTCAAATTTATATTTAAGATATAGCTTTGTTATAATTATATACTGTTTTTGTTCTTTTGTTCTATTATTATTGATTATTGAAGTGAAACTTCTTTATCGGGGTTGGAAAAAAATTTAGTGTAACATTTTTGCGTTACGCGTCACATTTTTTCCGTTACGCGCCATGTTGCTTTTTATCGGCGTTAAAATATGACATATAGTATGTTTTTGACTTTGAAGTTTGACAACGGATTACATTTTCGACTTGAAATTTGCTAATCGCAATTTGCAGCAATTAATTTGTAAATTGTATGCTAGGCAGTGTATCAAAATTTACTGTGTTAAAAGAAATAGTTTCTAATAAGGTCATAAAGAAGTTTCACTTTTTACGTGTGTACACCTAGTACACGCACACATTTTTTTTATATAATGAATACTAAAATCTCTTTTTGAAAATAACTATATACTCTGTAATATTCGGTTTAAGTCATAAATTAATGAATGAGTTTCATATTATATTAAAATAAAAAAATAATTTCTTAATATTTTTATATATTATAACAGAGGGTAAACGGGCTCACCTGATGTTAAATGATACCGCCGCCCATGGACACTCATATTGCCAGAAGGCTCGCAAGTGCGGTGCCGGTCTTTTAAGAGTTGGTACACTCTTTTTTTGAAGGACCCTAAGTCGCATTGGTTTGGAAACACTTCAGTGGGCAGCTGGTTTCACATAGAGGTGGTGCGCGGTACAAACTGCATTAAGAAACGCTCAGTTGTGGAACGGCGGACGTCGAGGTGATACAGGTGGTAAATTCAAGTAAAGTAACAAATCATTTAATCAAATAGGTAACATAATGTACACTTATGACTGATTAATAAGTACATATTAATGCTTCTGAACTAAAACACTAACGAACTAAAAAATAAACTAGCTATTATAAACACCTTCTACAAGAAAAAAGCCAAAAGAAGATGGACATGGCGCTCTCCGGCCGGTCAATATAAAAACGAAATTGACTTATACTGTCAAATCACCCAAAATTGTTTCAAAATATAGAAGTTCTGAACCTAAACTCCTCAGACCACCGTCCTCTAAGGTGTAAAATTAGGCTAACAACCCGAAGAAAAATAGGACCAACTTTACAAATAATAAAACAAGTCAACTTAAACAAGGATGAAATAACAAAGTACAACCTATCAAGCTTTCTCTTGACCATCAGGTCAACCCATCACCTTAAACAAACGTACAGACCTCCTACGTAAAAATAAAGACGGCCATCCAACAAAGTTTGATCCTTCGAAACATAATACAGAAGATAATAAAAAACATAAAATATTACAAGACCGTACTCTAAAATTATTAAAAAGAAGACAAACTCCACAAAAATAAAACACCTCATTAAAAATGAACTCTCCCACTGTACAAACTGGTTAATAGATATATCAAGAGAGACTATGCAAAATATAGGCAAGAAATAATAGAGAAACACCTTACTTCACGCAGCTCAAAGAGAGCATATAAAGAACTCAACAAACCAATCCTGATAGAAGGACTAAACCCTTATAAGACCTTACAATCGAATGGATATTGTGAATACAGCAACTGATTTCTACAAGAAACTTTACAAACAAAACACAACAACTACAAAATCGAAACAAAACTTAACTCCCTCTTAAAACCAATTCACAAAACCAAGTAATAAACTCAATAAAAAAGCTGAAATTCGAAAAAGTCCCGATCTACATATCACAAATAATCCTAAAATATGGTCATAAATTTTGCAGAACCATTAACTGAACTGTTTAATTCTATACTTCTAAGTTCTGAAACGCCCATAGAATGGTCTGAACAGATATCGTTCTTATATATAAAAAAGGCGATCCAAAAATATCACACTACAACCAATCAGTTTGTTACCAAATATATACAAACTTTTCCATCCATTATAAATAATAGACTAAGCCCGATAATAGAGGCAAAACAATCTTGAACAGCAGGTTTCAGAAAAGGGTACTCTCTATCACCCTCACACCATAGAGTTAGTTATGGAGAAATATCAAAATTTCAGAGACCTCTTTACATAACTTTTGTTGATTATCAAAAAGCTTTTGATTCAGTCATACACAAAAGTATATGGGAAAGCTTAAAAGAACAAGAGGTCCATAAATACATAAAGGTGATTAAAACATTACAATAACAACAAGGAAGAATAAAGCTAAAACTTTAGGCCCCGCCTTCCATATAGAAAGAGGGGTAAGCAGGGGACCCCTCTCACCCACTATTTTCATAGCAATACTCGAAAACATCATAACAAATTAGATTGGAGTAAAACAGACTCTTATAAAAGGCACCTACCTAAGTCACCTGAGGTTCGCTGACACCTATCCTTCTTAGAGACAGTCAACGAGATGCAATTCATGATAGAATCTCTACAACAGGTGAGTGCGGAAGTTGGTTTGGAGATGAATCTAACAAGACAAAGATAATGAGTATACACAAAAAGACCTATAACTATCAATGGTAACCCTTTAGAGTATGTAGAAAATTATACTTACCTGGGAAAAAGAATAAGTTTCGAGGAAAACAGTAACATTATAGAAATAGAGAGAAGGGTCCAACAAACCTGAATAAATATTGAGCCTAAAAGAAATATTTAAGAGTAACCTACCAATAACTCTCAAAGCTAAAGTTATGAACTCATGTCTACTACCCAGCTTAACTTATGGAAGCCAGACCTGGAAATTCTCTACACAAGCTTGAATAAAATCAATGTATGTCAAAGAGGTTTAGAGCGAACATGTTGAATATAAAGAGAATGGACAAAATAAGACATACAAAGATAAGAGCCGTCACTAAAGTTACAAACGCTTTAACTTTTGCCCGAAAACTGAAATGGAATTGGGCTGGCCATGTGGCAAGAATGTCTAGCAGAAAGTGGACAAACGAGTTACCCAATGGAAAGGACCACCAGGCAAGAGGCGGAAGGGGAGACCCCTTAGACCGCTGGGAAGATGATCTGAAAAGATCAGCTGGCAAAAACTGGCACTCCATAGCACAGGACACAACAATGGGCATCTTTGGAGGAGGCCTTTACCCAAACCGGGGTTCCTGTTAAATAAATCCTATAAATATATATTACTAACATAATTTAAGCTAACCTACTAACAAATCAATATTTTTGGTAACTTTAATATAACAACTACCAACTTTTGTAAAACAGGAAATAAAAAAGGCTTTATGACTGATTAATAAGTACTTATTAATGCTTCTGAATTTACATTTACTGTTAGTTTTCAAACTCAGTAGTTCGTCGGTCAGTATTTCGTATTCTGCCTTGATGTCCGATGATGAAACTCAGCTGCAGGTATTAATCCGAATCACTTCTCTGAACACTATTGACTTACCTTTGAATATTGTAAATTGTCAATTTTACACAATTCGTACACAATCATTTCATTTGTGAACAAAATAATACCAAACCGTAGCCAAATAAAAATAAGGCTTTTAAAAAGCAATCAGTGACAGACAAAACCACATGACACAGCTAGTCAGTAAATTCAATAAGCTGAAAAATAAAACCTCGACAACGAATCGCATTTCTGTATTGACTCGTAGGTAATAACAGGGGATTAGCACTTTTGCACATACCCGCTATACATTACGGCTTTAATTGATAGCCAATAATAATTTCGTGACATTATTCATACATGTATACTCAGCCTCTTTTAATTATTATTATAACAAATTAAATGGAACAATATTGTGCCACTTAGGTACACATCGGTTAGACAATTTTAAGGAACTGCAAGTTAATGGAACAATAAATAATTATGAAACAAGAACCAGCAGGCAAAATAATAGCAGGCACTTTCATTATAGTGAGGACAAAACAGTAACTTACTAAGGTAATATTCAATAATAGTAATATTACCTAAGTTAGTATATGTAATATGCGGTACTCAATGAGACACTCTGTGGGCTGTTTTTTTATAAGACAAGAGTAAAGACAGACTGAGATATCTGTTAAAAATATCGAGGTTATCGGGACTTTCAAATTTCGAGTACATATACAATATTTAATATTTATTAAAGTTATTGAATAATCCTTTCAAATAAGTCTTTTAGTTATTACAAATGTTTTTGTGTTGATAAAGCAGGCCATTGCTGTCTCATGCTCATCAATTTCCGCTCATATATTCGATGCCCACGGGCCTACCTATTCATCACGCTAAATCAAGCGTTCACAAATCGAACCACAGAACTAAACGAGCAATGTATGTCCATCAAATGCGTTTCATCGACCCGTATAGTAATTAAAAGTGGCATGGAGTGCGGTGTCACTCCATTTGTTAATTGGCGCAGTCAGAGCCGGACAAAGATCGTGTTAGTTTGATGGATACGGGAATGGCGGTTCATCGATTGACGTTATTAGTTTTAATTTTTGTCGCTTTAAATGGTTTCATTGCTGATTTATCAAAAAATACTCGTGACAGTTTTTTGTGATGATTAAAGTATTTATTTCTTTCTTGTTTCGTTAGCAATTTATTCGGTTGTAATGCCCATTTAATAGGTCCCTGATTCAACCACATTGCCAGACATATATTGTCATTGAGTGTTTAAAATAATTGGTTATATTATTTAGTTCATTATTAAGTTTTTGAAAATGTTGAAAATAATAGTTTTCATTTTAATATAATAAAATAACCAATATATTTTGTTCCTGTAGGTAACTTATGAACATCATATAAAAATAATGCTTCTAAATTTACATTAACTACATTAAGGGCGTAGAACGGACGAGAATTGGCAATAAACTCGTCATCAGTCTTTTAAATCGCCAAGATTTTTGTAAGCATCATTAAATCATGCTCTTCACGTTAAAGCAGTTAATCATTGTAATTAAATAATGTATAAATAAATAAGAAAGTTGATATCGTTAAGTTGATTCTAGTGTGATATGTTTTTATTACAAAAATGTTTTAATAAATATAATAATGAATGTGTACGCAGAATGCCTGGTTATGATTTACATAATGTTGACAGCGTACTCGTAAACATTGTAATGTCGACATCATACAAGCTGTTAAATAAATTATATATACGAGGTAATTTTGGATGAATGTGCTCCGTTATGTTTAACATGATATTGGAGCATTTTAAATTGAAAACTTCGTGATTTCAAAGTCGATGTAAGGAAAAAGCGACAGTAAAAAGAAACATACGCATAAATTCATAAGATTTAACGTGGAAGAAAATAAGATAGAAAGCATTATACAGTGTATAAACTTTAAATTAGTGTGTATTTGATAATTTTCTAAATTAAAATAATAAGAGATTAAGTTAATTCAATTATAAAAATAGTTGAAATTTATCAATTTACGTATTATTAATTATAAAAACTTTTTGAACTGAAAACTTCTTACCACACTAATTAGTTTGTAAAAAAAAATTGAAATTAAAATTCAGCGCAGATAACTATATCCTAGTATTGCGCCTTCAAGAAAAGAGTGTACCAATTCTCAAAACACCGGCAAGAAATATGCGAGCTGCAGAACAGTGGGAGTGTCCAGGGGCCGTGGTATCACTAACAGATTAGCTCAGATGAGCCTCCTACGCGTTTAATCCCTGTTCTATTTTTAAAAAATGGCTGTCTTTTCTTCAGCAGGTTGTGTCAGGTGCGCTGTCCCACAAAATAAATCTGCAGCTGTGTTCATGCGTGTAATGAGTTTTGTACAATAAAGTTTTATTTATTTATTATTACAAAACTTTACTAATGAAATATGGAGTGGCGGAGAGTTTATTGGCAGTTCTTCTCTTCCGTTCTACGGCCTACGCCCTTGATTTGAGAACTGGCAGTAAATGTAAAATTAGAAGAATTTAATGTAAATTTCTTTTTTGACGTTCATAAGTGTACATTGTGTTACCTTATGAAAAATATATATTTTAAATTAAAAATAATTGAATACGTATATGAGTAAACTACCATATTTTAGTTCTTAATTATTTACAGGTTCTGCATTAGAGTTATTAATACAGTATGTCAGTTATAGATAATAAATTATAAGTATGTTAGACTCCCGGTGACAAGTACTACCACTGATCACTTGTTTGCCTTGTTAAGAAAATGAGTATAAAAATCTGATTCAATCACCAAAAGTCGTAGCGCCATCAACTTTATTCAATAAGTAATTAGGTAATTTATGAATCAGTAATTAATTACAACACATAAATTTATTTACGTAAATGGGCAGCAATCGGTCAATTTTCACACCCACACGAGCTATGTGATTACGCTGTGGCATTGCCCCTATCGCCGCAAATAGGCAATAGCAGACTTCATATTACGGAAATGCTTATAAACAGATTTTACTATAGCTAACGAAATATGCCCGGAACAATACAAGATATTGTATAAGTATTTTATAAATATTAAGTTTAAAGTCAATAACACTCTCTGCATCTTTTACAGTATTTCCCATGGAGAGTGTTCAGAGGAGTTGTTCGGACTAATACCCGCAGCTATAGTCATGACTTATGTATGCTGTACGCATATAATATATTTTGTAACTAAATAGTAGTTAGTAAAGGAATTTAATATGTTATGCAGCGACTTTATTAGACCCACGTAAATAATATCATCTTATAAAACTGTTTGTTACCTAAACTAAGACTATCAAATATTTATTTAAATAATTGTTCACTATACTATACATAATACTTAACTATGTAATACAAGAGTTTTATTATACCCAAGGCACTGTATTAACCGCAGCTCCGGTTTTCATTAATATTCGCCTAAGATATCCACCAAGCTGCAAGAATAGAATTAATTATAATTGGATCTATCTATCTTTATTATTACAGGAACTTTCAATACCAACTATTGAGGTAATTAATTTCTAGATCACAAAGCGTAGGAGTATCCGGATTATGTAGAATAGACCGGATCGCTATGATTAATTATAGATTATGCATAAATGTACATATTGAATCGTTTGTCTTCGCAGAGCCAAATTGAACTGCGCTCCTATTTAGGGTGGCACTTAATTGGGGGAAAATAATGTACTGCTTAAGCAAAGTATGGGTTGTATTCCTACCATAGAAGTATATTTTTTTAAATCAACAAAAATCTGAAGGGCCGGTAGGTAGATCAATTTCGATTCTATAAAATATTAAGTTAATTTATCATATTCATTGGTTATAGCTCTATGGTAGAACTCTGTGTCAGTTCATGTTGATAGTTGTCTGTGGATCCATGTTAATCACTTGAGTATGATTGTAATCGAATAGTAATGATTCAGAAAAAGGTTTATTTTTTCTATTAAATCCTAACAAAACAAGGCTACGGAACTACAGTAAGAGACACCAACCGCAACCAATGAAAAACCAGCCCATGCAACGCACATAGCGTTTCCGGTTAAATTCTTCTATTTCACCTTGCCTACTGATAATAGTAGCTAAAGTTTAGCTGTTAAATAAAATAAATTAGTGGCGCAATAACCTTTTTAGGTCTGGCCTCAGATTTCTGTATCTGTTTCATGATCAATTGTCAATCTAATAGGCAAGTAGGTGATCAGCCTCCTGTGCTCGACACACGCCGTTGACTTTTTGGGTCCGAGGCAAAACGGTTGCCTCACGATGTTTTTCTTCACCGTTCGAGCGAATGTTAAATGCGCACATAGAAAGAAAGTCCATTGGTGCCGGGCTCGAACCTGCGACCTCAGGGATGAGAGTCGCACGCTGAAGCCACTAGGTCAACACTGTTTTTAGCTGTTTCACTGTTCCTTATTTCTTAATTTTTTTATAATTAATTGCTTCAATGTCATCAGGACGATGGTGTTATTATTAATCAACTTGCTCCTACACTGTGCGTATTCATAGCTAACGATTTACCTTAAATATATTTATTTAAAATTTTAAGACAATTAGACAAATACAATAAAGTTAAGAGGATAGTAATTTTTCTTTTACAAATGTGTTCTTCTCCGTCCCCTTGTTCTAAAAAAAGATCTGCAGGGGCGGACGCTACTCTAACATATAAACCTATTTTATTTTCTTCTCTGGTCAGTTAAACCTCTGCAAGTAGACAATAGTTTCCGATACAGGGGCAATAACAATACTATAATAAACATGACCCGGCATCCATTAGTATGGTAACGAGTGTGGATGGCGGCTCTTGGAGAGCCATTGTCGGGGTTCTTTGTATTTCCTGAATAGATGTGACAACTCTGATGTACATTTACATACGTTTGTTTGCGATTCTTTGTTCAATTGAAACGAGACCAATTACTGGGTAATGTTAAGGAGTTGTGTCTGTCAATTTTAAATAAATCTAATTGGTTTTTTTTTATATAAAGATTATTTTTCTCTGTATTTACGCTGTGATGAGGACAGATAATAACGGTGCAATTCAGATGTATTGTTTGATGAATGACGGGGATATTTATTAAAATTTTAGTTTGATTTAATATTTATAACTGTATTAGGTGCGTTTATAATGAACATGGTTACGGTTAGGATTTGAATGTCATTCCAGTGTCTAAATTTAGTGTTGCCAACGTATATTTTACCTATTTACTATAATTGTTATACAAGTTAGTAGTTCTTATGTTTAATAAATTCGCCCATCTAGATTTGTTTGTACTAAGATTGCAATATTTGATAAGACATTTACACATAGGCCGTACATTCTTGAACAAGCAAGATTTTACATGTGTTTTATTCTAAAAGTATTTTTTTTTTTGCAGCGGGTGTCCGAACCGTAGACGTACAAGCCGTAGAAGGTATGGTGGCACAGTTCCCCTGTGACCTCGGCACTGCAGCCAATGATAAAGTGTACATGGTCTTCTGGTTCAGAGACGATGCTGGGATACCACTTTATAGGTAAGCCTGTAAATTTACTTGTGTGTTAACTATAGTGTAAATACACACATACATATATATATGATACAATTGTCCTGCATGATATTTAAAGTTAGGATATTAAAAATAAAGTACCATCAATCCATCTCCGTGATTTGTGAATCTAAACCATTTCCAATCCCTACACACACAAAAATTTCATAAAATCGGTCAGTTGAGAGAAGTTCAGTCACATACACACGCACACACATACATATATATATGATAATATACGTAAGATTGATCGTTGTTCCCGGATTATATATTTTTTTATTTAAAAACTAAAAATCATTGTATACACACATACAAACAATTTGAGTGCCAAACACCGTTCAAGTAATTCCCATGAATTTGAGTAACACAAAGCTTATAAAAGCATGAATCGACACGAACTTGGCTATTCTTTAACTCCTTTGTGATTCCTTCATATTATTATACTTTTTGTATGTAAATACATAAAGTTGGATTAATAATAATCATAAAAACTTCACTTGGCTTAGGCCCGTGTGCAAGAGTGTACCAAGATCATGAATCGATCGTGAGCTAAAATAAACAGCACAACAACCCTAAATGTGTTGGCCTTAGATTCATCAGACAAGTAGATCAGCTTCGCGATGTTTTCCTTCGCTATACAATTGTTAGATGCGCACATATAAATAACATTGTTTTTTTTATGTGCAAAGGTGGGAAATGGGCATTACTCAACCGATGTTAAGCGATACCGCCGCCCATCTCATTGCCAGAAGGCTGGTAAGTGCGTTACGGCCTTTAAATAACTGGTACGCTTTTAAAGGACCCTAAGTCAGATTGGGTTGGAAATTGAGTGGGCAGCTGGTTACACATAGGTGCATGGCGGGGATCGAACCTACGTCCTCAGGGATGAGTGTCGCACGCTAAAGCTGGGCCATCACTACTGTGCGAAGTTGTATTAGTACAAACCTATAATGATGCATTCATGCAATCGCATTCCAGCTTCAATTCAGTATTGAGGGCAATTATTATACACACTACTCCCACGTTAGACTCTAAGGGAAGGCTTATAGTACTAATAACACGATTGTAACGTCATTAACGTTTACATTATGTATATCTATATATTTTTAATCTGAAAATAGTGTTTAAAATATCAAAACCAAATCCGTTTTAGACGTGTTATTAAGAATCGTCGTATAGCAGTGTTGGCCTAGTGGCTTCAGCGAGCGACTCTCATACCTAAGGTCGTAGGTTTGATCCCCGGCTGTGCACCAATGGACTTCCTTTAACATTTGCTCGAACGGTGAAGGAAAACATCGTGAGGTAACCGACATGTCTTAGACCCAAAAAGTCGACGGCGTGTGTCAGGCACTGGAGGCTGATCACCTACTTGCCTTTTAGATTTAAAAAATGATCATGACACAGATTCAGAAATCTGAGGCCAAGACCTAAAAAGGTTGTTGCGCCACTCATTTATTTTTATTTTAGTAAGAATCGTCTAAGTGAATTAGTATTACTCGTTTGTAAACTAATTATTAGATCATTTGAAACCTCTACCATACGTTTGAGAGCTCCAAAATTAATGAAGTTTTTTATTAAACTGTCTCTGCACAAAGACATAATTTTAATTAAATAAATAAATTTATCATTACGATCTAGCTTAACTTAAGACTAATCGATAATGTAAAACTAATCTAACATACTAAAAAGTATATTTAACATAAGAAAAAGTCCAATAATAATTATTTATATACTTACACTGTTACTACTGCTTACTAACTTTTACTATTTTTTTCTTCTAAGTATTATTATAATATTATTTTTCTTTTTTTGCGACTGAGTCGCAAATTAGTTGCTGTGGTCTGGCAGAATGACCAGCGCTGTGGAACAGTTTGCTCCTCAGCATAATTCTGAGCCAGGGCCAATTACAGCCAAAACACACACGCATTACAAAATTAAAACGTACCTTGTTCTGTAAAAAAAAGTTATTTTTTATATTTTTTTGATTATTGTTATTTTGTGTGTGTGTTTTGTTAGTAATAAATGTTATGACTATGTCTATCTATGGTAGACAAGACACTATTCTTTTGTACAATTTTTTTCCAATTACCACTGTTTAGCAATTAAGACTAACGAGGTCTCACACTAATTCACTAATTCGAATGGTTTCCTTTTCAATCTTCTCACTAGGCCCGTGGTGTTAAAAGTAGAATAGCGTCGACATTTAGGAGTTGGTGAAGCCTTTGTTCGTGGGCTGTAGCAATCTTTTTGATTATTGTGGGGACGTTCTCTACATTAAGTTCCCGATGGAGGTCGTCATTGCGAAATTTTGAAATTGTTGGATTTATTTGATTGGATTGTTATTTAAATTTATGAAGGAGGGGAAATTAATTTTAAAAAAATGACGGGTTGCACTCCAGGAGTGCCGGAAGAAGTGAAAACTTAAATATTTACGTTGTGCATTTTTTATATTTTAGAATGGTTAGGGAATAATTTTGCACGAATTGCTTCAATTATCAGTATAAAAGTACTATCATTTATGTGGTAGAATTTATTTATTGCGCTATCGTACACAAACATGACAATTTGTATTACATTAAATACGCCGCGCCACCTGTCTACTCTCCACCCGTCTTACGAATTTTCGATCAGGTCACGTGTCCTGACGCGAGGTTAACATTTTTTACCCATTCCAAAAAAGTGTACAACGCCGCTAAAGAAGTTTTCACTTCAAAATTAATCAGCATAATATGTCTAAATTTAAACCAGGAACTGTTGCATTCTACGACATATTTATGACCCATCTAAAAGAATCTCCTCCCTCAAATGCCACGCACCTGCTAAAATGGGTGTCTATGGGCTGCGACGACTGCTCTATTTTGGCGTCCCGTAGAAGAGCAGGGGCCTTACTAACAATTTCTTTCAGGATACCTAAAAAACATAATTAAGAGACTATGAAAAAGCAAAAAAAGTGCTATAGTGTGCTAATTCGCCAGGTAGCCAGCGTCGCCAGTCGCCGCATGCGTAGCGGTCAACTCTGGCTACGCTGGCTACTTGGCGACGTCGCCAGTCGGTAGCCAAGTGAGTTAGCCGGCATACATCTTAATATGAACTAGTTGGTGACGTGGCCATGGCGTCCCGGTGAGGCAGAGGCCTAAATCCAGGGCAAGGTTCAATTTGACCGAGGCGCCATTACACATTCGCAAGCGCCTCTCTTATGAATTTGTCATCTTTTATTCAGCACCGCGATATCGTTTTACGTACGTATCTCAGTTAATTTGCAAACTGGTAACTTTGGCAACGCGCGACGCTGGGGACTGTATGAATTAATTAGTTCACTATAATGTTCTTCCACCGTACTATTAATTTGTATGAAATTTGAATTGTGTTGGAAGTTTTTGACTTTCTAGTGTATACGTAGTTTTGTCTACATTGTATTAGGGATTTCCTTACAATTTTTATATAATATAGATATACAAAAACAACAACATACATAGTATTGTCTTTTATTGACATAACATTTAGGCATAGAAAAACACGTTTTTAACGGATTTGACACCGTGATCAAGCACGCTGTAAAGCACGCGAAATGTTGGTTAAATTTAAAATTATGTAAAATAATTGTAAATTTATAATAAAACATAACTTCAAATCCGTTAAAAAAGTGTTTTTCAACAACATACATGTTATAAAATGAAGTAAACTCAAAAATTACTGAGTAACATATAATTTTTGAGTTTGATAAGTATTGTTTATTGTTAAAGAAGTCGCTAATTTTGTCACTATACACGCGGTCGAAGGTGCGGACGTAAGCTACCGTATTATAAAATTGCATCAATTGGTTTTGCAGTGACCAATTCCCAATATTACTAATTCTAAATTCGTTTAATTTATTTTCCCATTTCTTATATATTTATTTTGACTTGAGTGTTTTTATGTGTGAAAATCTTCATTGTTAAACGTACTTCAAAGCTATCCAATGTTGTCTTCATAACATTTATTTTTTCCTTACAAAATATAAACAATAATCGCACACTTGAAGCCAATATGAGCCCTTTAATTTTTACCACATTTATAAATTGTATTTCAACATTCTCGTTTACGATAATATCCAATAACATAAGTGTCATTTAGATTTGTGAACTCTTCAATAAGTCATGTTAATTTATTGTTAATACAGCGTCACTACCCCACTATCTACTCTTATTTATAAGTTCATGTTTTAAACAATTTAAGTATGTTGTTACCCAGCTTCACAAAGTATTTCATTTAACATATCCATTATCCATACAACAACCGCCACCGAACTTAATTCCTGTTTGAAAATTTAAAATTTTGTATATGACAATTGTGTAGATTTACCATTACATTATTATTGTATGTATTTAAGACTAACAGAAAACCGTCTGTCGTATCCACTAGTTTAATATACACTTATTGTTAAAGTTCTTAAAAAATCAACAATTAATAAACATGTTTTAGTGCATTTCAGTCGGTTATCCTCAAAGTATATTAAAATATTTTTTGTACTGCGCACCAAATCACCTAAGTTGAATCATCAAAATAAACAAACATTTCATTAATTAGTTGAATTAAATTCCGGGTTCTTTGTTAATGACCTGTATTCATCTCTAATTAAAATCAAAACAGAGTCCTTATTTACAGTGGAATATATATTTCATACGCATTATGAAGAGGGTGCTATTTCATTTGCGTAATACGAAACATTTTTACCTTTTTTAATTAATTCAAGAAAGTCAGTTATATGAACGACCTCATTGTCCACCTTTCATATTTCCGTAAACAACAAGTCGTTTATAATCCTTGTTAGTAAATTAAATGTCAGCCTACGCATTAATTCTTGAGTTTATTCTGAATAAGTTAATTTTTAAATAGATTTTTCTTCTTAACGCTTGATGAATACAAAGTATTTCTGTAGTCACTTTTTTATAACAACGCTTTTCTTATTTACTTATAAGTTAAGTAAGAAAATATGACATCACAAATTTAATC